TGCTTGTATTTAATACACAGTGTATACTTTCAGAGACGTGTATTGGTTGCTGCACTGGACATTTAAGGAACAAATACACAAGATGCCTCTATTCTCCTTCAATGAAAGGAAGAGAAAAGCAAAGTAAGCGTCATCTCTGCCTCTTGTGTGTTGACTTGTTATCTTGAATGAATGCAGTCCTCAGTGATGTGGTCAATGCCTCGCCTTTTATTAGCATTTATCTTCTGAGCAAGCGCCCCATTAAAAAGACAAGGAGTGTTGTTTGTTTGACCTTTTGCCAAACGGTTTGTCAGGGTCCTCCTGGTCTGTAATCTAGTCAGTGAGTTATTTTTACATCAGGTAACGGAGCAGCAATCCATCCATCCATCCATTATCTATACACCGCTTATTCCTCACGGGGGGACTGGAGCCTAACCCAGCCGACTCAGGGTGAAGGCAGGGGACACCCTGGACAGGTCGCCAGTCCATCACAGGGCTACACTTAGAGACAGGCAACTAAGCACACTCACATTCACACCTATAGACAATTTAGAATCACCAGTTAACCTCAACATGTTTTTGGACCTTGTGGGAGGAAGCCGGAGAACCTGGAGAGAACCCACACTGCACAGGGAGAACATGCAAACTCCACGCAGAAAGATTCTGGTGCCCCCACCGGGACGCGAACCGGCGGAGCAGCAATACTTTGCACAATTAATAGTATCACTCTTATAAGCAAAGATAAAGAAGGACATTTATAAACTGTAGCTTTCTAAAAGTAGAGCTCTTAAACCTTTCTGCTTTAAGCATTACTGACAACTCAGTGGAAGTGCAGTGTTTTGTACTGCTGATCTACAGTATGTATATTGTATAAGCCGTACGATCCTGGTTGACTAAGCACTAACCTTTGGCACATACGGATGGTCGGATGACTTTACAACATTTAATTAGGGACTACTGTGTGTCCAACCATTTTCTGAGCTTGACCTTGGTGATGAACATCTGCCAACAGGCATCTATTAAGCAAAGCTAATTCGATTTTTAAAAAAATGCACATTTTCTTGAATTTGATTGAATTAAATACCTCCTACAAACAATCTCAGTTCAAATCAATTTGTTAGTATTCGCTGGTGAAGACTGGGTCAATATGGTTGCTTGCAGAGAAGAGTTAAAAGGATTTTGTGATTTTTTTTTTTAAAAACTGAAGTGGTAAAAACTGGAAAACTAAGAAGTGGTTAATAATGTATGTGAGTGATGGATGAGACTGCAACAATACTAATGTCATCAGTCTTCTAGCCAGCAGCTCCTTACCACTTTTAATAAAGTTGTTTAATTGAAAAGTTCATGTTTATAGATTTATTTAAAAGTTTAATTAGATTTTGTAGAAATGTTGTCTGAGATTTCCTCCAAACGAGGAGGAACTCAAGTCTAGTTCAGAAGTGACTTTGCTTTATTGTTATGTAAGTTTGGTTTGTTGCCTCAAACGGCTCAATATAAAGACACGGTGTTTTCTCAACAATCCCAGGGACACGTGCTCTTAGCCCTCAGTGGCTTCCCTCGATACCTCAACCACCACAAGTCCACTTTCATTTGCAGTGACAGCGGTAACAATGAGATTTCGTCACACAAAGGTATGGGAAATCGGTCATAAAGCTTGTATCCTGTTGCATCTCACTAATTCATCCACGTGTCTAAAGGCTCTTTGGGGTTTCTTTTGCGAATTGCATCCTTTTCTGCTGATTATTCAAATGATTGTAGGACAAACTTCCTTCTTTGAACAAAGCACAGACAAAGCACAGAACAGGAAGGGAGGCAACCCGCAAGATGAACTTCAGCGATTATTGGCCCGCGCAGACAAATGCTGATGACATCCGAGAGGTGCACCACGCCATTGAATCATCCACATAACTTCCTGTTGATTTATGGGTCTGGACCTGTGGACAAAACAGCTGGGGGTGGCCTTTTGGAGAAGTTAAAGGGTCAACCCACCAAAACAAACAGCTCCTGCTTCCTGAGGGATTTCCTGCTCAACAACATGAAACAAATCCACCACAGGCACCATCATCACTTCATAATTGTGTCTTGTCATTGAGGAGACGCCATAAAATACTTTGTTTTCCTCCCAACCATCATCTAAACAATTGTTTGATAATTGATATGTGTTTTATTTTTTGTTCATATTTTTGGTTTTGTTTGCTTGCAGGATGAATGAGTATGTTTTTTTTTCCTTCTTAACTGTTTCTATAATTTAATTAAAAATGCCTGAAATGGGTACATGTTCTGTACTTGCCTTTTAAAATACACTTGACAGCTTTGACTTGACAAAATATTAAAAGGCCTTTCATTTAATTGCTAAATTAATTATGTCTTTGTTGATAATGAAAATAGACAGGAAAAAATGTTTCTCTGTTGTCCTGGTGGTTTGTGTGTTTTGAGTGTGTTTTAGTGTCACACATTGTAAACTTCCTCACTTAAAATCATTCTTGTAGAGAATGTACTTTTGTGAATTGATGTCTTCTTGGCAATATATCTTAAGTGATTTGTGGTTTTATGTATTGTTTTGTCTTGTGGGGGCTTTCTGCTTTTACTATTTTATTTTTTTTCTTACATATATTGTAATGTATAAAGCACCATCTAAAACAAATGATTTTCATCAGCCCCATCACTCGCAAGATACTAAATAATCACTAATGGTGGAAAGTAGCTCAGTATTTTCACTCAAGAAGCTAGGTACAGTTCTAGACATTTGGGTTAACTTGAGAATTTTGTTTATTTGACAGCTATCAATTATGAGTTGCTTTCAAGATCTAGATTTTACGTCCAGAACACATGAACAGCTTATACGTTGCTATCCAAACTGAGGTGCCACAGGGGTTTATCCTTGGCCCACTTCTTTTACACTGTAAATTACTCCGATAATTAACACTTCAACATCCACTGGTATGCCCAGGCTTTGACTTGACCTCGTTTCATCTTTGATGATTTCATAACATGACGTTTTATTCCCAAACTTGTTTTCAATTCAGAAGAAAACAGTTTAAAGTAGGTGTGGTATTCTCCACCTCTGCGTGTCATCCTCTATTAATAAATAACATTTATCCACGTCACTTTAACTGAATCACACGCAATGCCTATAAGGAGTACTCACCCTTTGCTTTCACTTTGACATGAAAGAGTCTGTATCATGTAAGTACTTGCTTTAAAAACAAAAGCCACATTACATTGACTATGGCCTTGTCGAAAGCAATAACTGGCAAACAAACACTTCTGAGAGCGGTCAGTAGTTTTTATAGACACTTTTGATGGGCTGGTAACATCTGAACCAAGCGCACAATGTTGGACTGACCTCCCTACGAACAAGAAGAAAAAACAATAATCTCATTATATCATTTATAAATCACTAGTGCTAAAGTTTCCAACATGCCTCACGTGTCTTTAAACATTTTATGCTGCAAATACAACACGTGTTCCAGTAGCTCCTAAACTGTCCATACGGGCAACTGTGCTGCTTAATGAGTAGTTGTATTTATATTTTGATCCTATTCATGTTGCTTAATTGTCAAGATATTATGCCTGATGTCTTGTAAGGTGTCCTTAGGTGTTTTTGAAAAGGTACTAAGAAATATAATGAAATATTACTGTTGTTTTTGTTATTGCCATCAATAATAATAACAATAGTAATTATAACAACAGTGAAAATTGTATTTTCTTTCTAGTTAAAGTTATTACTTTCACCACATGTAATCACAACAGCAATAATTTTGCTTATAAAAATCTTGCCTTTTTTTTTTTTCAAATGTCAAATAAAATTTTTAGGTATGGTAGTTTTTTGTTGTTTTTTTTTAAGTGGATTTTACATTTTATGTTTTAAAAAATTGTTTTGTGAATCATTTCTCTTTTACCATTACTGTTTAATTTGCATGCCTAAAGCTGTGCCACTCTGTCCTAAACTTATAATTAAGGGCTGTAACTAACTACTGTTTTCATTGTTGATTATTCTGTTGATTATTTTTGATTAATTGCTTAGTTAGTTAGTTAGTTTGACTGCCTGAAAACAAACAAACATTAAAAAAAAAAAAATAAATCCTATTACCTCCCTACAGCCTGCTACTGGCACCAACGCCCTATCACACTTGAATTTGTTCTATGGCACTTATCTAGATAGTTTTCTCCTGATCAGATCCTTGCTTCTGTTGCATCTGCTCTCAGACGTACGTTGCTTTGGATAAAAGAGTCTGCTAAATGAAATTGTAGAATTGTAGTTATTTGGTGTCTAAAATGTGAAAAAATGCATTGTTTTCCAAAACCCAAGATTATGTCCTCAAATATCTTGTTTTATCTAGAACCCAGAAATGTTCTGTTTACTGTCACAGAGGAGGGAGGGGGAAAAAACAGGAATCAGATAATTTAGCCTTTTCCACTGATAAATCTTTCATAAAAACAGTGACCTTAATAGTTGACAACAAATGAATAATGGATTAATTGTTGCAGCTCTGCTGGCAAGGTTTGGTTGAAAAAAAGAAATAAATGTTAAATAAAAGACATAAATTAGATGTTTTTCTTTTTCTTTTTATCATGTGTTTCTGTATATGGAGTCGTTTTCGCCAGCAACGTGTTACATTTTAAACACCTGATACTCACATTGGCTGATGCGTAAAAATGTAAACACACATCCACGTGTGCTTTTGTGAGAAAAATAACATTCACATTATCATCGTTACAACACTTCTGTGTCACTACACTGTTCGTTTAAGCTTTTTTTTTTTTACATGTTGATTGTGTTGGGCCTTTTTCTTACTGTGCTAGTAATGATTCCTTTATGTATGTGGCAGGTGCGTGTGCATGTGTGAGCGGCCTGTTACGCAGCAGCAGCAGGCGGCTGGGTGACAGCAGGGTTGCTCAGAGGAGGGTTGGTCTTCTCGTCATCTCTGCTCATGTATAATTAATGAGGAGGCAGCGGCCACGGAAAAAACTGGCTGCTTCTGGTTTCCAGGCATAAATACAAAGCGGAGCCGGTCTGAGGGGGAGAGAGAGAAAAAAAAACAGCACAAAGGAAAGCGGAGCACTCAGAGGTTTTAAAACTGAAGACCAAGAGAGTCAGGTAAACCAGCCGCTCTACTCCAAACCAGCACATTTAACACTGTTGTTATTGTTGTATTATTAATATTATTATTCAGCAGCGGGACCGGTGATGCCGCTGATTTAAATGTTCACCCAAAAAAAAAAAAAAAATAACGGATCGTATCAGTACGTGTCGCTGAAAATGACTGTTGGAGCCGCGTATGGAGTGTGCGCGCCGCCACCGCTCCTCAGTATAGCGAATGTCAGCCAGCTGTTTGTGTTGACAAAACAGAAAAAAAACGCAGCATTAAAGCAACCTGAGTAAGAGCACCGCGGGCACAGCAGATCAAATGTTAGTTACACTGATGTATCCGAGGCTCTGGGAGGATTTAAAGGGACAAAGTGCTCTGGATGGAATAAGGCGGATTTACGCTTCTTTTTTTATTATTACTCTCCATTGGGTTTTATTTCTCTGCTTGAAGGTGTGTTTAGGTTTTGTTGTGTTTCCACCACATCTTATGTTTCCATTGTCAGAGTGAGTCGGTAAAGTTGTCTGCTTTGTTTCAAACTGCTGCCACTTTGGCATCACTGCTTTGCTATACGTGGCAGGAAAGGCTTTTACTACACAGCTGTTCCAGGCAGCATATAGGCTGCTATAGACTACATCACACTGTCTGGCTGTCAGCTTCACTTTATGGACTGTCTCTTTTCAGTCACACTTATCCTATTTGGTACCAAAAGTTTGTCTTTCTTTATCATTGGCAAGTTGGTGCTTTTATGTATTAACAATAATCTGTAACTGATTTATTATTATTATTATTATTATTATTATTATTATTATTATTATTATTATTATTATCATCATTATTATTTTAAAGTAATTCATTCAGTGATTCAGAGCAACTTATTTTTTCTTTTTATTTCTAATAATAAAAGGTCCCGACCTGACAAACCCCAAAGCTACGAATAAAACCATAAGTTTCGATGTAAAAACATGTTGTACCTTATTAGAGAGCAGTGGCCATATTTTCTATTTCAAGGTGTAACTTAAAAACAAAAAAGTGTGATTCGCCGTCCTGGGTTATGCTTATTTATCACAATAATATATATATATAAATATGAAAATGAACTTTTAATGTATTTTCTCTGTTTGTCCTTTTCTTCTTTGTCTATTTGGTGTATTTTTTATCAGTAGTGATAATCTGGCTGATCTCATTATGTACATCTGATTGACTGTATGTATTGATTCTCTCAGTCTGGCACTTTGGCTATAGGCTACTACAATGGTCTGTCTGGACACTGTTCCCCTCTTTTTCTGCATCAGGGGAACAACCAGTGTGGTGTCCAGTAGCATAGCAGTCCAGTGTGTGTGTGTCTGTGTGTGTGTGTGTGTGTGTGTGTGTGTGTGTGTGTGTGTGTGTGTGTGGTGCTTCCACTCCATCATTCCAGCTTGGGAAAGTCAGAGCTGGGAGAGAAGTGTGGAATGTCTGGCCTTTGGCATGAACCCCCCTTGACTAGGCTGCAATTTTTTTATTTATTTTTTTTCATGTAAGGATGTAGAAATGTGTGTTTCCATGCAAATGCTCACATGGGACTGATAGAGGAAATGCAGATGTGTTTGTGTGTGTGTGTGTGTGTGTCGACACAGCTGGGAAGAGCTATACAATATGCGCTATACAAATAAAATTGAATTGAATTAAAGGGGAGAGCGAAGCAATAAAGATGCAGGACGGGAGCTCGGGTGCAGCCACCTAAGACAGTAATGCTCAAGACTGGCCCTGCTCTTGAAAAGTCCACCAGCTCACGCACTGTGCTGTAGATTGCCATTTCTAGGTCAATGGTAGCCCCCTTCCTCCCTCTCTCCAGCCTCACTCCACCCCACCCTCAGCTGCTCGTCCACCCGAGGCCGGCCCACACATTAATCTGCGGTGGTGGTGGTGTAAAGCGTGGAGCTGCGACATGTGGCGAGTGTATTAACCAGCCGTGGAATTACAAGCAACCAGGGAGGGATGCACAATCTGTCAGAGAGTCCAGTGTGTGTGTGTGTGTGTGTGTGTGTGTGTGTGTGTAAACCAATCAGATGCTTTCTATTAATTAAATTCATCCCTCACTGAAATTTATAGAATCAGATGGATTTTATAGTGAAATGGGCTTTTAATTTGCCGGTAAAGCCAAAACATTAATGACATTATTCTGTGTAAAAGCTTAATCTTTAAAGCTGTAATCTATAGTTTTCCCAAGAAGGGCTGAAATGATGTTTACAAGATTCTGGATTTTTTTCAGAAAAAAAATGTATCGATATCCTGTTTGTGCAAATAGGCTGTAGTATGCAGAGGGGAAAACATCCATCAACATTTTGTAGAAGCACATTACAAGTGCACTGTGTTTCATGACAACAAGATTTCTTGTATTAAAGTGTCTCCTGAGAACAACCTTCATCCTTGTTATTATTTGTTTAAAAATATAATTTTCCTGCCCTGCAAATGTGGTCAAGTCATGGCTAGAACAAGGAAGTCATTTATCAAAATGTAGATCATCACAGAGATGGGACCTTACTGTTCAGATAGTGCAGATTATTCACTTCGCCAATGACAAACTGTTGTATGTGGATATTACTCTGGGAGGTTTCTGTGCAGCAAATGCCAAGGAAAACATGTCACTGTATTAAACAATCATCATTAATCAATATTGCAGAGCAAACACAACAATCCCATCCACGTCCGCATCCTCCTTTTATCAGGTCTCTTGTAGCGTCTACATTTGTTGTTCGCCACAAATCCGTGTCCTCCTGCGACGCTGATCCTTAACAGCTGCAGAGTATAAAAGGACTGCAATCCTCGTACTGAAAGCATCCAATGACAAGAAACCACATTTGTGCCATCTATTCTTTAACTCCAGTAACTGCATACATAACAGTAAAGGAAACAGATGTGATAGCTTCAATTCAAGACCACAAATTGAATAAGAAAAAGTACCACCCAGCAATTACAGATTTATTTTTTTGTTTCATTTAAAAAAAAAAAAACTCTATCATTTTAGGTAACTCTTTAATCAATATATTATTGTTCCAAAAATAAACACAGTGGACGAACTCCACCCGTTTCCATTCTTCCAAGTCCAAGAATAAGTCCATTCACGTTGATGTTGCAAACATTTCAGCCTCAGATTCCGGGAATCCAACCGGTGATTAATATCGTCGTTACCCGGTGTGTTTTCTGTGTGCAGACTTAAAGCATTCGGGGCTGAGGCTAGTTTCAGTGGAAGGGAAGGCGATGAGTGGAACTGAAACTCTTTCATCATCTTTTGATACTTGAAAAGGCACATTTCGCTGTAATTCTGTGGTTTAAGCAGCAGCGAGTTCAAAACTACAACTGCAGAACGAAGTCTCATTTGATCGATTCTGCGTGGAGGGATAAATTAGTCATGTAATGTTCCACTTTAGTAAATAAATACATTCTCTGGAAAATGTGTTGATAAAATGTGTGCTTTGCTAAATCAAGTATTTTCATTACATTGATGACAGTCATATGGAGATCCAGTTTGCTGTGAAACAGTTTAACTCATTATTAAGGACTATTGTTCACATCAGCTGAAAACATTCAGATAAAATAAAATGACAGTTCACACTGAAGTAACACAACAAACTCTCACACAGCATCTGTACAGTGTGTATTGTCTCAACTTTTCCTGTGTGACAGTTTTCTACTTTTGATCTCCTGTTCAGTAAATGTGTGTGGGTCTGACCTAGATTCAAGATGAGGGTCACAAGGTCAAGTCAGATGTCACGTGTCAACCAGAGCAGATAAGCAAGTTTAACCTACATCTGTGGGCACCCAAGACTCTGTAAGGAAGTCACACAGAAAATGCTGTGCATGTCCTCTTTATTTTGAAGTCACAGGCAGGTCATCCCGTAAGCAAACTCTACTTTCTTTAAATGCTGGCTTGTGGTTTCCTCTGCACTTCCTGATCACGTGACTCATGCAGCTGAGTTGGTGGCATTGACAGCTTGCTTACAGCACTCTGTCTCAGATGCCAAAGTTGAATCTAGGTTAAAACTCAGTGAACATAGCACAGTGATCTGCATTTGTAGCTTACTTTTTTAATTCCGGGAAATCATAACAATGACCTCGTACAATCTCCACAAAAAAACAAAAAAGAGGGTGGCTCATGCTTATCCTGAGTTTGATATTTACTGAATTCTCTCTGCTGTGTGACCTTACACGAAGGGAAGCTCAATGTGTATTTTCTCCATAGTATAGTATGTACTGCCCACTCAGCGTTGCTGTGGTAACGAAGCGAGGACGATGTGTGCGTGTGATTTGTGTAGCAGCAGGATATGGGTTACCTCAGAAGAGGGGATACTGCTGCTCATGCATGTCAGGATGGCGAAAACATTTCATTTTAAAAAGTATCAGATAATAGTGATAGCAGTTTACTGATAAATAAATCCCATAAAAAGTGCAACTTCATGTTGATGCTGGGTGCGTTTTTCTGCAGGATTAACAGGAATGTCTTCTGTACAGACACCCACTGTGTTATACTCACGCACAGCTGTCCATACATCCACAGCAAGCAGCCTTGTGTTCAGCAATAACAAGGTCGCCTGTGTGTTCTGTCTTTACGGAATGTTAGTGTTTCTGAGCAATTTCAGTGTAATTACAGAGACTGTCATAAGAAATAATGTTTGTTTGTGTATAGTCTATAGTCTGACGGAAATAACAGGGTTTGTCTCGGGATTCAGATTTGGCCTTGTGCTAAATTAACAGTGACACACAGAGCAATGTAAACGTGTCGTGGAGAAGAAGAAAAAACGCTCTCAATTAAGTTAAACACAGTAATAAGCACAGCTGTAAATGTGGGTAATATTAGGGGGAGTGTCAATAAACAATGCTTATCAGCTATAAAAAGACGTATTTGTTGTCAGCACTTAATTAGCAACATAAGATAACAAAGCGCCGGTTTTTCTTTAAACTGCAGGTGAGGTTGTTATAAAAATTTTAAAAAAGGTTTAACTCAGTTATATTTAGAAAAAAAGTCACTTTTTGGTTTAGTTTGCTCGTGTTTTGCAATATTTACTTCCACTCCAATAGAATGGAGGCCAGTGGAATTTCATTTGCGGTGCTCACAGCATTGACATATTTCATGAAAGAAGTTCAAAAGCGATACAGAAAAAATATAAAACCGTTTCAAGGATTTTTTGTGACCAATCCAGAGAGACACTTGTTATGAAGCTCCCAACGCTTTTAAAGATGCTAGTGTGATTTATATAATTGTTGGGGTTTTTTTTTAAGATATTTTTTGGGCTTTTCTGCCTTTAATATAGGACAGTGAAAGAGTGATAGAGAAACATGGGGAGAGGACATGCAGCAAATGAGCTGCTGGCTGGAATCGAACCACAGTCGCTGCAGGGACTATAGCCCTGTGCATGGGTCGCCCACCCAACCTGTGGAGCTGTCCCGGCACCCATTCATATAGTTTTTAATCTGGAGTTCAACCCATTCACTAAAAACAACGCGCTGTGTGAGCAAGTCTTATAACTTGTATACACCATGGTGTAATCACAAGATAATGTCTTCAAAATGTTATTCTTCTGGACTTCAGGAGCTTCATAGTTTCAACAGTGTTGAGTATTTTATATGTAAATTTACAATTTTGTTCACAGAGTATTTTTACACCAAGTTTAAAGAATGTACTTGACAGTAAAATATGTCAGATGGCAACAACAGAAAGAAACTGTGGTGGCTGAAAATAACCACACACACAATGTGATGTAGGAGTGTAACATACTGCGATCTGGCATGCAGCCGTATATGACTCACTCAACTATCTGTCATGAGTTACTTGGTTCATATTATCAATCCAAGGTATGTTCTGTGTTATTTATGAGATGTACAAACTCCAAATATGTTGACTTTTCCTTCCTACACTTAATATTACAATGTGTGCTAGTAGCCCTTTGTCGCAGCGTTATAATTGTGCCATTTTTAACTTGGGTCATGTCTTTAATTTGTCCTCAGACTCCATTGAAGAAGAGCTTGGACGGCATGCAAAGTTGTGAAATTTCCTCAGACAGCACTGATGATCCTCTTAGTAGCGGCCTACGCACTCATCGGCAGCCTCGAATAGTAGTGATTGGTGCTGGCTTGGCCGGCCTTGCTGCAACTAAGGTCCTACTGAAAAACGGCTTCACGGATGTCACTGTCCTAGAGGCGTCAGACCACGTCGGCGGGAGAGTTCAGAGTGTTCAGCACGGTGAGAGGACGTTTACCTGAACTGGCTGACAGATATGTTATGACACATTAACTGCATGAAATCAGGAAGTTGCACACTTTCACAGTGTCATGAAGTGGGTAAATCATAAACGGCTACAAGAAATTTCCATTGGACCCAACTGCTGTGAAATCTGTTGTTTTCTTTTCTTTGCCTTCTCATCCGTCATGCAACAATGATATGGCTTCATATTTCAGAGTCCCATAGTTCACTCAGATGTTCTAAATTCAACAAATCCTGATGGAAAAAAGTGCTAAAATGACTATTAACGGAATCGCTCAACAGTTTTGGAGTTACACTAATTAGTTAAATGAAATGGATACCACTTTTATGTCTGAATATGAAGCCAGCAGGTAGCTCAGCTTGACATGAAACCTAGAAGCAGGTGCAGCTCTAGTCAGTCACTGCTTCCAAGGAAAAAGTAGTCCAGTACATTACTCCTCAAACCAGTTTGTCTTTTGTATTTCACTTTCTTTTCTGATTAGATGAACAAGATAAATAGTGGTAGTCAACTGCAGCCGTGCTGGTAAACGTTCTTAACTGTCTTGTCTTGCTGTAGGCTTATTTTAATAGCCAGATATGAGAGTAGTATTGATCCATGTAAATCCAATATCTGACCTCTTCAGTAGTTTTGCTCACACAATAATGTTTTTGCATACTTTTTACAACATCAGAAAGATTGACTCAAGAGTTTTTGCACCATCCAGACAAATTGTACACTTGAAAAGCACATTTCTTTTAAGCAACAATTTGAAATTTTGTTAGATTAATACAAAACGCTATTTGACTGCTGACAGACGAACAAAGAATCTTCTGACACAATCGAAGCTATTCTGCAGAAACAATAGCATCCGATCTGTCAAAAGCCTCTTTATAGTGCTTCTTCTTCTTTCTTTTTTTTCTTTTGCATGAAATCTTATTAACTCTGCTTTGTACTTCTAATATTTATTTGGAAAACTGTCAAATCAGTCAGCCATGCTATCATCAGAATTGTTTCCCAAAATAGACTGAATTAATACACTTTATTAGAAGCCTGTCTACTTCCAAGAACAAAAGATTTTTAAAAAAAATATGCTTTAGTTCTGTTGCTAGATTTTCCCAGGCATATCGACCGAACTGCAGGTTTTAACAGATTTCCATCATGACAAATTCTTTCGACTGGCAAGAACAAACAAGTAGAGAACAGCATCTGCTCGTGGCCTCATGCACAGAAAAGGGGTCACGTGTAGAAACACACTCATACTGCACTGCTAAATTCAAACCCATATGTCAGAGATAATTCAATCTGTTATGTAAAAGCATGATTACATGCATAGTTGTTATGCAATCATAGTATAGAAACATTTATGTCACTGCATTGGTCTGTTTTCATTTTCTAAATGGCCATTTAAAATTTTAAAAAAAACAAAAAACATTTAATGCCATTACTCTAAATAGAAATGTCCCAGTGGGTCTCAGCAACTACAGTATCTTAGCTGAGTTGACCTCCTTCTTGAATTACCTAATACTCAAGTGTGGTTGTGTGTGAGCCAAGCAGACTTTACTTACTGGTTGGTTCAAAACTGTACAAGAGATCTTGCACTCATAGAGATCTTTTTTGTTTTGTTTTGTCTAAACTCACACTGATTTCTGCTCCTTTTTTTCTGCTCCATAGGAACAGCAACTTTGGAGCTTGGAGCTACCTGGATCCATGGTGCCAATGGGAACCCAGTGTACCACCTGGCAGAGGACAACGGGCTGCTGGAACACACCACGGACGGGGAGAGGAGCGTGGGACGCATCAGTTTGTACACCAAGAATGGTGTGGCTCACTATCAGACCAACGTTGGAAAGAGGATCCCCAAGGACCTGGTGGAGGAGTTCAGTGACCTGTACAACGAGGTGAGGGGACGCATATGCACACAAACACGGACACGCATGAATTAACATCTGCATGCACAAACGGATGTATGCACGAACACAGAGAGCTTACATAATGACAAAATATGTAAGTTAAATTATGTTACATACTGCAGGCCGTAACCAGATTAGATAAAGGCAGCGGTAACTCTTTAACAAGGTGGCGCTGTCATTACAAACTCACTGTCCAGCCTGACATCGTTCAACCCAAAAAAGTTTCCACATAAGCTCAAGATATCAAGCTGGATTTTGTGTGTAAAATGATACAAAAGAGATCGAAAGCTACAGTATATGCTAAAGGGTTAAGATATGACGTCTTCCCAGTCTCTATGGCAGCGTTAATAAATATGTCTGCAAACTAATATGAAATGACCATCAAAGCATGTTGAATTTAATAAGGAAATCCACTCATTAAAGTTTTTTTTTTGACTGTTTGCGCTGTACTTCTGGAGGATGGTTTTTGTCGTTTATGTAGGTCACATCTGGAAAAGCAGTTACAGAGAGAAGATATAGAACACACAGAAGGCATTTTGATTTCAATACCAGTCGTGCCTCTTTGTTTTCTGCATCAATATTCAGAACAGAATTCCGCACCTTCAGAGACCATTTATTTTTTGTTGTGGTATGATGTGGTGTTTTTCCATAATGCCAGAGTTTAACCTTGGAGAAAATAGAGTTTGGAACCGCCCTGCACTGAAGAGATCAACCCTGAGTTGAACTGAGCTGGTTTCTTTCTGTTCCCTGTTTCACCATGCTGTGCTTTCTTTACGTCCTTCCTGCCGAAATACCCTTTGGCCTGTTTCCCTCCTTTAGGTGTACGAGCTGACTCAGGAGTTCTTCCAGAACGGGAAGCCAGTTTGTGCTGAGAGCCAGAACAGCGTTGGCGTTTTTACACGAGATGTGGTGCGCAAGAAGATCATGTTGGATCCCGATGATTCTGAGAGCATCAAGAAGCTCAAACTGTCCATGCTTCAACAGTACCTCAAGGTGTGTGTTCTGCATGTTTATGTCTATGAGCGCCACTGTAGCATTATATCACATCCTGAGTGTCTCTTTCTGTTCTCATTTCAAGACACAATACATCTTAGAATTAGTAGGGGCTTTTGCCTTGTGACTGACCCTGTAAAGACTGGTTCCATGCTGATGTTTGAGAAAATGATGTGAGATTGTAGCAAATGTCCAGATATAATGTGGTCTGTTTGCCTGCTGGCAGTAATGGCCAGGGTTAATTTGACAATAATTAGCTATTAATTACAAACAGATTAGTTTGCTAATTAGATAGTGATGAAGCCTTGGTTTTCTTTCCTCCTAACGAGCTTCATGTAGCTTTCCTCTGGCAAATATTTAGGCTTGGGCTTTTTTTTATGTCTAGAAACAAAAGAGCAGAGTTGCAGTTAAAACAACATACACCACTCCTTGTGATTATGTGATCTTAACTGACAGTGTCTTAGTGGAGTTTCATATCAGCATCCATGTAAAACATCTAGTGTTTCCTCCTCAATATGCTCTCAATGATACAAAAAAACACATGTTGTTAAGTGCAGTAGCACCAGGTTACTGCTACCATGCTGGCTCACGAGCTAATGAGTCAGAAGCAGCGGCATATTTAGGTTTTTCACTTCACTACCAGTAGGTGTCCTCTAAATAAAACATTTGTGTTCACAGCGTGTTGAAACCAGCTTAATCACGCGTTGTTGTTTTTTTTTTTCAGGGCTGCAGCGATGACTTGTTGACATGTCGTATAGAATTTAATGACTGCAGAGAGTTCATTTAGAATGCCACGGTTACGTTTTCAAACATTTGCTTTGGGTGTAACAGCTCAAAGGAAATTTGCGGTCCAGCTTATGTGGCTGCACTCTGTACATATTAGCTCGAAATACAACTGGCCTGATTCTGTGTGTTGGTATGGTTTCACGTTTCAGGTGGAGAGCTGTGAGAGCAGTTCTCCCAGTATGGATGAGGTGTCTCTGAGTGAGTTTGGCGAGTGGACAGAGATCCCCGGTGCACATTATGTAATTCCTGAAGGTTTTATGAAGATCGTGGAGCTCCTGGCCCAGGACATCCCCTCCCACACCATCTGCCTTAGCAAACCGGTCCGCTGCATCCACTGGAACTACTCAGCCCAGCATCGGGAGGTGATTGCCAAGATCAGCGACACCAACCAGGACAACAACCACAACGACAACAACCACGGCTGCCAACCTCACACAGACCGTCTGATCCTGGGCCACCCCATCTACGTGGAATGCGAGGACGAGGAGTGGATCAAGGCCGACCACGTCATCGTGACGACCTCTCTGGGCGTGCTGAAGCAGAACCACGAGGCCATGTTCTCCCCCTCTCTGCCCGAGGACAAGGTGCTCGCCATCGAGAAGCTGGGCATCAGCACCACCGACAAGATCTTCTTAGAGTTTGAAGAGCCCTTCTGGAGCCCCGAGTGCAACAGCATCCAGTTTGTGTGGGAGGATGAGGCTCAACTTGAACAGCTGGCCTACCCAGAGGAGCTGTGGTACAAGAAAATCTGCAGCTTCGACGTCCTCTACCCTCCCGAGCGCTACGGCCACATGCTGAGCGGCTGGATCTGCGGGCAGGAGGCGCTGTACATGGAGCGCTGCGACGACGAGACGGTGGCTGAGACCTGCACTGACCTGCTGAGGCGCTTTACAGGTCAGGACACGCATACAGACGCAACCAGAGCCAGGCAATTGTTATCTACCAGACATCCTGTTCACACCATACACAGTTGATATCTACACAGGATTTAACTTAACCCTTTTGCATCCAAACTCAGATCCCTTCTTCTCGGTTGAATTGCTCTCAAAGTGTTCATTGCAGCAGGATGATGTGCAAAAGAAAAACCTTTGTGACTTGACCTTTCCATAAGTTCAAGGAGCTTGTCTGTGCACTGTTGGAAAGCACCAGAAATACTCCTGAATTTACGTCAAATTGAATCATAGTTACAGCCTACATACAGCTATCTCCAGAGGAATTACTCATAAACTCGCTATTGCGTAGATGTATTAAAATCGATGCAATCAGTGCATGTGAATATTATATCGCAAGAAAGAGCACAACTGCAGTTTCTTTTAAATTATGGTTGATATCTTTATTTATTTCTTTACCCATTTCCCACTTCTGCTTCTCGGTTTCATACGTCTCTATTGTTTAGAACTTACTGATTGCTTCTCTGTGTGCCAAAGAATAATCAGGTTTTGAAATGATTTCTGCTTTGATTCCAGCGCTGGGCTCACATTACATCCCGCTTTTTATGGAAAATACAAACACATAGACACAAAATAATGGGTTGGCTCTGCACTGCAATGATTTAAAGGTTGTCGCCAAAAAAAAGAGCCACCTGTTACCTGTGCATCAAAAGCCAGTGGCAATCGTAGACTCTGAGGGGCAAAGTGGCCATCGGGGGGTCCTTGGTTGGGAGTAGGTTGAAGGGTGAGGGGGTTATAGAGGCAAACATTGGCCTGATTGTTCCCTTTTGGCTACTTTACATAAACACTTCAGTGAATAAAATAACATTTATTTTCGTTAGGAAATGAACACTAATTGTTTCCTAATTTTGAAGTAACAAAGTAAACAACCATCATGGTGCTGATAGTGCCAGGTAGGATCTCTTCCTATACAAAATATATATATTTTCTAAATGTACTGTCAACATTTTTAGCCAGGTACATGAAAAACAATCATTTAACTATATAATTCTTTCCTTTTATATGAAAGCTAAAAAGAAAATAGCGTTAGCAAATGATGGTAGATGTGGATAGTCTAGACAAAACACAGCATGAATGGCTAACCCTCATAATGACCATAATTCCAGCACATTTGGAGAAAATAATCTCAAAATAGCAAAGGGTTGACGTTTCTAATTCAGATATTTTACCTCTGAAACTATTTTAAAAATATTTTATTTATATTTGTTAATTTAATTTAACAAAAGTAAAGAAACACTCTTCATAAAATAGTCCTGCTTTTGTAGTCCAGACTGCTGTCATTTTTCATGGCAGAAAGCAGACCTCCTTTCTTGTTACGCTTTTACTATGAATCAGCAATCCAAAACCAGCACATTGACCTTGGGAGGCTGAGAAAGACCCTTGTCAGCTCAGTGACTCATGCAAACCGTAACTCGGGGTGAGGCATTGTGTTCCATAGAAGGGAAATGACATAAGCTTCATCTGTGATGTAAGCAGCTTTTTGAAAAAAGGTTGACAGACAATGCAACTAAATGACTCAGGTATCTGGGTTGCTGTTTTTTTCAGTCCAGTGAGCAGCAAAATGCTCTGGTGTGAGCAGAAGACTGATCATGTGTTGGATGAAGCAAAGAGTCTGTTACAGAATGGGACATCTGATCCTCCCTTTTTCTGGAGACACAAACACACACAAACGGCATATGTGTTTATAAGTTGTTCAGTGTTGACTATATGAAGCGCGTCAGTTTTTTTCGCAACAGGGAGAAAAACGGAAAAACCTGACTCACTGTTTTAAGGTGATTGCAACATAAAATGCAGCCGATGCTGTGGGTTGATGCATTGTTTGACAATAGATTAGCAGAGAAGCGCGGGGAGAAACTCAGACATTATTATCCGGCGATTGCTTCAGAAATAGGTCACAGTGTGAGTACAGAGACAGTGACTGTCATTTCATGATGAGGTCAGTGGACTTCCTATAGATACAAATGCAAATTACACAAAAAGCAAACACACACACACACACACACAAGCACACATATTCCTCATTTAGGTCAGTGCGGGTTATCCCCTCAACTGTTGCTTAATTACATATAGACTCGCTGGTGCCTCTCACACAGGGTCACAAGTTGATTAGTGCTGGCAGATAGAACGTCCCAGTAAAAGGCTTCAACTCACAGTCACAGCATTCTTGGTTTGAATTGGTTTGATTCTGTAATGCACTCCAGGGTTGTTCCTGGCTCAGAATGGTGACGACACACAACAACAAGATTAGTCTATGTAAAGTCAAGAGCAGTGAATCTGTGTCACCGTGTTTGACAGAGATCTAAGCCTTTTGTTGGTATTTCTGACCACTTGATAAACAAAAATGTCTTGTGTAAATGAAGCCCTACTTACCAAACAGGCACTTCTTACTATTTTTGCTCTGGCTATAAACTCTTTGGGAAAAATATCCTGGTCATGGAATTTTATCCACACTGGTGCAGTATGTCTGGGAATGTCAGCGTCAGTCTGTCCACCACATTCGTCCAGATAAAATTATCTCAATAACTAGCTGCAGGGTTTCCATGAAATTCCCCAGAGGAAGAATCGTGCTGACTTTAGTGATCTTTTTTTCCATTTTGCAACACTGGCAGGCCCAATTTTACACAAATCCTGTGAAATATCTCAAAATGTACAAGTTCGATCGGTACAAAATGTCATAGAGACATTCATGATTCCCAGATGATGAATCCTGATTACTTTGGTAACGTCTTGTACTTCAAAACCACTGAGTTTTGTAGGTTTTTTATGAGGAAAAACCGTGACAAATGTTACACACACTGTTGTAAAATTTGATACACATAATCACATTAGTACTCATTCAAGCTCCTCTCACCACTTTTGCTTGAATTTCTCTATGTTCCCAGCTATATTTTGTGTTTAGGGCTACTTAGCAAACAGAATAGGGCATGGTAAACATTGTATCTGCTAAACATCAGCGTTGTAGCGTTGCCGTTGACGTTAAGTTCAAAGCAGCGGCTTAAAGAGCTGCTACTGTGGCTGCAGACAATACTCTTGTTGAGACACCACACTCTCTTATGACTAATATAACGTTCTGGAAACTCCCTCCTCTATTTGTACCCACTCTTTGCCCCCCATCTGTTTGTTGTCCACAGGGAACCCTGACATTCCAAAGCCCCGGCGTGTCCTGCGTTCTTCGTGGGGCAGCAACCCATACATCCGAGGCTCCTACTCCTTCACCAGGGTCGGATCCAGTGGTGCGGACTGTGAGAGGCTGGCCATGCCGCTGCCTTATGCCAACAGCACCAAGGCTCCGGTAAGACATCCACAGACGACACAAGGGGCTGGACACAATAGCAATGACTGCTGGCATGTAATATATTTATATAGGTCGCCTAAAAATGGTGACATTTCTAAAGTTTGACTGGTGTTTGACTCACCTTTGTTGTAATTATTATCCACATCTAGCAGTGTTGTGCTTATTTTGATGCATATTTCGGTTATTTTGTTCACCTTATTCTGTAGTGTATAGTGCTGTTCACATACGAGAATGCCGAGAGCTGTTAGATTGCAGGACAAAATTCTTTTGTTGTGAGGTGCCACGCTGTCCTGGAAAATGAAAATGGATGACGCAGCTGGAAGTCACTCAGCAGAAATGTTATGAATTACTATTACTTAATATCCTAATATTTTTGTAAGAGGTTGCCTGGAAAGTGCTACACAGTTCAGTCAATTGGAAACTGAAACTTTAGCTCTGAGTGGTGAGTTTATAAGTAATATTCAGAGAAATGTCTTTTCTTTAGCATAGCGACGCTAAGGCCTGAGTTTATTTAGTACGAGACACCGTGTGGCTAATACAGTCATCCTCAAATGTATTCATACCCTTCCATTAAAGAAAAGGCAAATTTCCCAATAGTCACTCAAATAACTAGAAACTAAAAAAACTAATAATAGATTAAAATTTGCTAAATTATAATTTAGTGAAATAAGACATTGCTTTTTAATTGTGGTTGAAAAGAACAATTTTTTAAAAATAAAATAAAAAATATCCCGGACATATTAGAGCGCTTTGCTGATGAGCAGTGGACCCAAATCAAAATACCTTTTTTTAAAAAAAATTTATTATTACCTTTGTCAATTTCAACCTATTTCTGCAGTTTTTTTCCTTCTTTAATGGGAGGGTATGAATACATTTGAGGACGACTGTATGTGTTGAAATTCCTGTCTTGTTTTTTTATTTTTTTTCAATGAACGTCTCACCAAATATTGCATCGCTGTAGTTCTTCAGCTCCTCTATAGAAAATTAGAATTACACTCGCAGCGCTTTCACCCTCCGTACATTTGTTTGTTTACTGTCATTGCCTGCACTCAGGGAGCATCTGGCCGGTGCAGAGCAAATACAGCTGGTGTCAGGAGGGTTGTGAATACTGATTCCAGGCCAGAAGTCTAGACCGTGAAACCTGAAGCACTCTGGGTGAAAGGGAGAAGGAGGTGGGGGGCGGTGGGGCTGGAGGTTTTGTATGCCCACTTGACACTGCCGAAGGAACGGCATGACCCCTCTGTCAAAAGTGCAATCACACGCCCTCGGCAGAGCAACCATAGCCTCCTACATGTAGAGCGCTAACAAGGGACTCTGCTGCGAGAGAGCACCAAAAATATGTCAAGATGACATTGATGGATCTTGTTTTGAATCTGGTTATTTTCTCTCAAATATTTTATCATTCTCCTCTCCCCTTTTCTCCCCCCTCCCCGACTCCCCTCTTTGCTCAGCCCCTACAGGTCCTGTTTTCTGGAGAGGCCACCCACAGAAAATACTATTCCACTACCCATGGTGCTCTGCTGTCAGGACAGAGAGAGGCCACTCGCCTGACAGAGATGTACCAGGACTTGCACAGAGCGGAAACCACAAAGCCTAATATATAAAAATACAACAAACCTCTCACTAGTGAAGAAAAATAAATAAATTACACAACTGTTGAGTTGAAGCTTTTTATCTCGATGATTAAGTTATACTTAAAAGCATAGCTCGGGCATTATTACACTGATAACAAATGAGTATTGTTTCTGTTGTACTGTAGATTTGAATCATGCAACATTTTATTTGAGATGTACTGTTCAAAAGTTGCCAATGGTGCTGTCATTTCTTGTCTTTACCATTCTGTCATTATGTTTTGTTTTTTTAATCAGTAATTTAATGTTTATCATAACAGCATCTGTAATTTAACTTGTTTTTGTAAGTGCCTTCTGTACGTAATGCTATGTTATTTCAAAAAAAATAATAGAAATACTAAACAAAAACGGAGAAAATTTTAACTAAATAAAAGTTCTATCATCATCTAGCAACACCTGTTTTCCTGATTCATCTAAACACAGCAGTGTTACACATCAGATATCTCCTCTGTGTCCGCTTCTGTCCACAAGAATACTTTCCAGCTAAGCACGACCACAGACCACAGTTTTTCCATATTATCATCACTTCGGTATCTGTTTGAACGTATGAGAGGAAATAGAAGGCGAGCGCACATGGAAAGAAAGGAAAATGCTCCAGAGCTACTGTAAAAAAAGCTGTGCCAAAGTGACAGATGGTGTTCCAACAGACCTCAACCCAGTCCTCACGTCTGTTGGGCAACACTGCTGGTTCTCTTCATTAGTGACAAACACCGTCAGGGACTGAAAAGACCAGAGAAAGTTTTAATTAGCATCAAAAAACAAGAAAAACAGGTTTTAAATAATATATTTCCCCCCAACATATTAGCAGCTGTCATTGTGATATGACAAGTGTTGGGAGGATTATTTACAAAGCACCTAATACACGCCTCTAGACATCATTTGTCACATATTCAGCTACATTAATCCACCTGAATGACGTGCTGACAATTACTTCAACATTGTCTGGCATTATTATTGCACCCAACCCTGATACCTAAAAGCAAACTGTGCCCTGAACGTATATTAGCACTTGCTGTAGAGCTGTAATAGGTAAACACAAAGGCAGTCTTTGGCAAAAAGGGCTAAGGACATTTAAGCATTTAGGTCTATATCTACGTCATTGAATAGGAACAATTAGCAAAAAATATAGTGCACAACCTGAAAAACATTTTTTCTTCAGTCACAGCTGTTGCCAGTTCAGATACATTAGAGAACAGTAACTTTGTGGATATGACACCAGATGAGCTCAACAACCCAGTCTGAGCCATACAACTGAAGACGTTCTACATACTGTTCCACAACTTGATGAGCAACAAGATGTACTTTCTTTCAGTAGACAGACAAAACTACACTAATTCTGGAAACATGTCAAGCACCATCACATGGCCCAGATCTTACCTGAAAATGTAACTCTACATATGCAATACATTCACAGCAACAATCTCATTGATAATTACACTAATTAAAGACAATTAGTTACACATTTCCAGAACTCTACCGACATCAGCCAGCACCACTGCAAAACTTTGCTGCTTGATAATTTGCACTAAGCTTCACAAGGAAGGCTTGGGTTTGTCTGCAGAGATGCAAAAGATTATTTGAAAGTTTTCAGAATCAAAGGAAAAGGAGCAGTGGAAGTTCAATTAGAGCAAGTCATGCAGAGCTTTGTGTCTGCAGTAAACTAATTAAAGCTGCATTAGGTTGATTAATATATATCCTTCCTTCTGTCTCCTCTGAAGTCCAGTTCCTTTCTCCCGCCAGGATTTATGTGAACCCCACAAAGACAAGTTTCACTTTATGGAAGCTGATGAAGATGGAAATAAATAGTTACTTTAATGCTGTGGACACCCAAAAATGGAGCCCATCATACATCTGTTGTTGCAGACATATTTGATCTTGATTATTGTGTTGAAAACTAAAACTAGAGTATTTGAACTGGAACTCAAGTTTCCTTCAAGTCAGTTAATGAAGGCATCAGCAGTGAAATAAATCATTTTAGTACCAGTACCACAGAGTGAAAATACTTTATCAAGTCATTTAACATTTCTCTTTGTCAAAAGCACCAGAATATTTTTGAGAACATAAAATCTTCAACAATTTCTGAGGCTCTACCAAAGGGATCAATAAAGTTCTATCTATCTCTATCTAAATCACTCTATCTAAATCTAAAAAGAAGATTGGAAAATATGCACCATATGGGCAACATGTGTCCTTATGGGGAACAGCTGAAGTGCAGTCCAATGTTAAAATCCTTCAAAGCCAGATAAGCAGCAGGAGCACAGGACTGATTCATGTGCTGGACGTCAACTTGCTGACAGATATAAATATCAAGGAGCATGAGAGAAGGACCACAGACTCCAGAGTCAGAATGACATGAATCCAAAAAATCTAACATGCCAATCCTGAGACACACACTTTGCCAACAAAGTTGTCCAGACTGTCGCTCCACCCAGCTACATATTTCATCTCGTCACAACCCACAGGTTTCCTATAAAGCACCTGTGTTGGTGCTGATTGTTTGATCTCAACTCAGTCAGGATGCACTGACAATCTGTACTACTGTTAAAATATTCTGTGTGTGTGTGTGTGTGTGTGTGTGTGTGTGTGTGTGTGGGATAGAGCATATATCTGCTTACCCTTTGTGGTTTGGGTGTCAGTCTGCGGGCATCCTCCCTGGATTGCTGTTTCCCTGATCAGATATATTCATTTGTTTCTCAGGCTCCTGTGACTGTAATCCCAAATACCAACGTGTTGCTGGGTTGCAGCTGATGCGCTCGATGAGATTCATGCTGAGCGCCAACTTCCTAAATAGCAGTTGAGGAAACGTTTCTCCAGATGCATCTCTCTGCTGACACCTGGATGCTGCAGTGCAAAGTTAACGCGCTCCGTGGTCCGTGTGGAGCGTCGACTTTCCTCTCTTGTTCTCTCTCCTCTAGCGTCCATACAGTCTGTGCTCTCTGGGTCCAAGATCGCCTCCTGGGTTTAGGCAACTTACTCCACAAAGTTAACTTAGCATGACCCTTCACGCCTCTCCCCTATTATTTAAGTGCAGGCAGGGCATTACCATATTTTTGGGTTGCTAGACATCACCTCTGGCTGTCAAAGCCCCAGCAGGGAGAATGGGACTGTTTACTGAAGCTGCCTGTGGACCCTTTACCTATGTTTGGTCTTGATGCAGCTAAATGGCTGTAGCAGGGACAGGTGCCAGCGCAGGTACAAGTTGCCACTGTACACCAGAGGTATCAGTGGGTAGAAGTTTTTCAGAGGCATGATAATCACTTATGAGTTAGAGAAGGTAGACCAGTTCCTAGGGCTCAGGGGTACTCAAAGCGCCCTTCTCCAGAAATCATGTCAAGACGGACCCCATTCCCAGGGGAGTAGTGACTCCAGCCTCAGGGGGTTAAGGAGACTTGATGTTACATTGTCTTCTCTTCTTTTTTGTGATAGTGACCCACCTCTGGGGTGGGACGTCCTGGCATGCATGCGGCCTGCATGTGGTCAGGTTGATGATACCCTGTTTCATCCCTTCCTGGCTAGGCTCAGATTGGCAGCCTGGCCTCTGAGAGGAACAGGTTCCTGCCCTTAAGCTTTTGGTGAGAATCTGTTGGCATCCATAAGAGCTGCCTACCTGTATGGTTAGGGGGGTATGTACCACTTGGTGTGGACTTACCAGGTGGATCCCTACTCAGCAGCCAGGGACACCTCCTGTTTGTTGCTCTTAGCTGAAGACAGGGAAGTCTGCCACTACCCTGCAAGGTTTGGTGGTGACACAGGATAAGATCCTGGGCCCTCCATTGATCTTGGGTATAGTCAATGATGTGCTTCAGCATCCTCCTCTTTTTGCTTTTTTGCTGACCTGAAGTGTTTTTTCTTTAGAACTGCATATCTGTTGGCCACAACCTCTGCCAGGCTAATAGCAACTGCTGCAGGTTCTTGCCAGACTGGTCAGGTGCAGTTCTTCTTCCCAGTCTGGCGTTCCTGCTGAAGGCTTCATCTGAATTCCACCCATCTCAGTTGGTTGAGCGGTAGTCACTTGCCCCTTTCAGAGAAGACCAGGAGGACCAACACTGGTTTTAGCTGTGCCCTGTCTAAGCTTTAGCCCAGCACATCCAGTGTACACAGTTTGACCAGCTCTTCATCTGCTTTGACTTCAGCAAGTTGGGCAGTCCCTTGTTGAAGTCCCGGCTGTCCTGCTGGATTGTGGACACCATTCAGGAGAGGTGTGTTTCCCAGGTGTGTCAGGAACATCCTGGGCCTGAGCACACTTACTTTGTAATTTGACAGGGAACCTCTCTCACTGCCATTTGTGCATGTGCCACATGGTGATCTCAATCCTCTTTTATCTCACATCCATTAAAATATAGCAGCCAGTCCCTCCTTCGGAGTTGGTGCTGGGTCTGACTTGTCAGTGGATGGCTGGGCCAGGCCTCTGTCCACTTTCGTAGTCTCCCCGATCAGCTTAGCAGATTCCTAGTTGATTTGAGTGAGTGGCCACTGTGTTTACAGCTTTGGCTGTTTTATCTTGGCCTTTAACTGTGTTCCTGAAGTCAGTCCTACATCTTGCGGACTAGTCTAAGCAGCACATTTGCAAATAGCTTGTTTGTTATGTACATGCGTTTTGGGCTGCACGTTTCCTGTCTTAAAGAGCTATCCCATATATATGAAATATGTAACTGGGTGGAGCGATAGTCACAAGACAATAGAGAATGTATGGTGACATTGTAAGCTTGGTTCTCTGAGTGGAGAGTCTATCTCCAGCTGTTTTGGCTGCTCGGAGTGGCGTTTCGATCAAAAATATCAGTGAATGCCAGCACAGGTTCATAGGCAACCTGGGCAAGCCTGTGTGTCTTAAAGAAATGTCCACATACTCTGATGAACAGGGGAGTCATTCTCTGTACATATGAAATATGTAGCTGGGTGGAGAGATAGTCTCTTCACTCAGAGAACCAAGATTACAATGTAACCATATGTCCACAGTTTCTTTTCAAAAGTCTACAGATGAATAGAAACCAGTATTATTTTTGTGTTTCACTTTATTAGGAAATAAACTACCTGCACATTCATCATCCACTCACAGGTGTTTTCACTTTTTAGAACCTTTTCTCAGGACAGTGTGGGCATGTGCAGACTGTGACTGATTACAATCCTTGTCATTTTCCTGTTTGTGAATTGCACCTGTTAACATGGGGAAACTGGTACCGTCACACAAAAACAGGCCTTCACTTAGGACTGACTGAAGATCAGTTGCTGTGTTCCAAATCGGCACTACATACTGATTCTAAAGCCATTTTCAAGCATGTGTGTTGTTGCAGGCTTTACTCCAAACAATGTAATGTACACAAGGACATCATACGTAAAGAAAATTTTAAATAAATTGTTGGTGGTTTTAAAACAGCTCCAAACAAACAAAAAAAAA